AGTGACACAGTATCACCTCAAACTCCAAGATAAGAGGTGTTCCCTTTGAAAGATTGTCCACTGGGCAAAAAATAAATTAAAAATAACCGTTATCTATTTCCATGTTATTTTTTGTCAAAGCCTGAGGCCATGTCCACACTACTATGTTTTCATTTGAAATCACATGTTTTGCTACATTTACACTGAGCGTCCACACTACGCCGGAGTTTTCAACACCGAAAACGGAGGAGTTTGAAAACTCCGGGGTTACGTCTTCGTGTGGACGACCGTAAACTTATAAGTTTAGAAACGATGACGTAGACGCCCACGTTCGGTACTTGATTGGTTCTTAGCAGTCACGACGTGTCCTTCCCTGATTCGTCAGGCCCCTATCACGCGACCCTTTCCTGGAAGATCACAAACAACAACAGCATTGATTACCGATTGACTACCAGGTTAATTCAACATGGACAACTCATTACAGGTGTTGCTGACCTTGTTGTCTTTACTAGCAGCTTAAATTCAATCTTTCTGCGGAGGAAGCAGCTGTTATTGGAGCGATTAGTGAGCGGCGTGTCCAGCGGCTTTATCAGACCTACGGAGTGGCCGTCTGAAGTCACGTTAGCGGCTTTGAGCAACCGGCACCTACTCGCATGCCCAGTGTACGTGAATAGTGACGTGATATTCGTTTTCAGGCGTTTTAGTCTGGATGGAGATCATCTCGAAAACGATGCTGAAACGCCGTGTGGACGGAGATCGTTTTTGTTTGTTAAAACTCCGTTTTAAAACGAAAACGTATTAGTGTGGATGTAGCCTCAAGGAGCCACAACAGAGGGGCTGAAGAGGGTTGCCAACCCCTGGGCTAACAGAAGGAATAAATAAAGTTAGAGTAGCATTTTTGAAACGGTTAAGAGTTAACGGTTAAGCGTCATTGCATTGCAAGAAGACGATCAGGTCTGTGGTGTATCATTTGCCATTTAAAGCAGGCTGTTCTCATTCGCTGTTTGTACATTTACCTAGAAAAAAGTAATGCATGATAACTCGTGGAACCCGCGTAGTCGTGAGCAAGGAAGGAGGTCAGCGTAGCATAAAGACCGACAAAGAGAGTTAAACTAAAAGTAAAACTAAAAGTCCATGTTGACTTATTTTAATTAACGTAACTTTTACTTTTTTTACTTTTGTCATGTAACTTACATACTTCTCTAACGCCGCATACACATGATACGTAACAAGTGTACATATTGTACGTCATAAATGTACTTATTTTAACCCAAACTACAATCCTTTCCTAAACAAAGTAATTTTCTCGCATGGACTGATTGTGCACTGCAGAAGATTACTCAGGCACACCGATCGCTCGTGTTGCCCGACATTCGTAGGAGAACACGAAAAAAAAAAAATTAAAAGGGATGATTTTATCCAAAAAGCAGCACAGTGAGAGGATACATTTGCAGCATGGCTGTGTGTGGCTCAGTGGGAAACCACCATGGTACTTATGTCGTGATGTATAGGTGGACAGCGACGTGATGTGACTCCATCAGTCTTTCTTCACACAAAAGTAATGAGCAATCTCTGAGCACCAGAGAATGAAATGAGTTAGAGAATGAGAAAGAAGTAGATGTGGAAATGCTTTTATTAGGCATTGAGAATGTGGACGGTGGCATTTATAAAATATGAAGGATAATTCTGGTAATTCTAGTTGTGGCCAAGATTTGCAATGATTAATATTGATGTATTTTTATTAAATGCTTAGATCTGGGAATGTGGCAAATGGACTTGTACTTGAACAGCGTTTTTCTAGACTTCCGACCACTCAAAGCGCTTTAACACACAACATGTCATTCACCCATTCATACACTGATGGCAGCAGCTACCATGCATCAGGGCATTCATAAACCGCAGGGAGACATTCATGGGCTTAAGTGTCTTGCCCAAGGACACATCGAACTGCTGATCCTCTGACTGAAGGACGACCTGCTCCTCCACTGAGCCACAGTCACCCTCTATCACTAAATACAAGAAGGACAAGCAGTCAGACAATTACACAAGTTATAAAACAGCTTCCAAATTTAGCCAAACTCATTGAAAGAGAAAACAAACGCGAAAGGTAATGTTTTCACCACAACTGTCTGTTTTAAGGGTCCGTCACAGTTTCGAGACCCACTACCTCAAACATTTGCCGACATGTTGGGTGTGCTCACTTCTTTCAATCTGAAATCGGCACGTTGTAAGACAAGATTAAGACTCCACAGCCACGCTATCTGTTGTCTGAGGACGCACTTGGCTACAGCAGTGTTCAAAATGTGTGCCAACGTTAGGGCTGTAGCAATTTTTTTAACGTTCAAAGCTTCTATTCAGCTTTTTGAATGCAGCTTTAAATGTCTGTCATATTTTATGACGTCATCACCCTAAATTTAAATAAAGTACTTCATCGGAATAAATGGCATAGTAGCCAGTCTGTAATGAACGTAACTCGTCAGTGCGTGCCCCCCTTTGTGTGCGGCAAGCGGGAGAGCAAACTGTTTCTGACCGCAGTGAAGAAGTTGTTTTTGAAAGTCCTAAACACCAACATGGAGTGAAGCAGATTATTTTGTTAGATAAAAACATGTTATGAATTGTTGAAAATATTTTTACTTTTGGACTATACACCACACCATTTTTATCACGTGAGTCGGAAACAATCCTACCCAGCCACCACTGGAACCAATGGACACACTGGACTAATTCTACAAATAGTTTAATACTGTTCACTACAAGCCTGTTTGTAATTGGTTATCTGCACGTCACCTGTTTCTCCTCTGCTCCGCTCTGTGTGATTGAGAAGCTGGTGAAACACGAGAGCAGAGGATATTAACGATCTTGGGAAATTTTAGCAATGGTGCCTTGGTGCAGCCTAATCTCTATCTGCAACTGTGCAGAAATACAGAGTTTAACTAGAACGACTAGACGTGCAAAAGAACAAGAAAACAAGCTGTGCAGTAATCAAATGTTGCTTTTAGAATACAAATGTAAATGGTATGAATGTCATGACTAAGATTTGAAGTTTAGAACTATTCAGTTCAGCCCTACTAACATTTACTACTTAGAAAACAACACAAAGTACTGCTGAAGGGAATGTCATCAGTTTTGCAAGTATTGATATCTATATATATATATATCTATAAACTAAAGTATTGGACATTTTTTACCAGATGGTAGTGATAGAAGAAAAGTGAATGAATCACCAATGTCATTAGGGTTCATCCTTTCGGGACCATGAATATCGACTATCTGTCGGGGAGAGGTAGAGATGTTTCACTGGAAAAGTAAAATCTTTGACATGCTGGTGGCAGGACAGGAAAGATCAAAGGCTCTTCAAAGTCATTTGTGATTAATTTCAGTCCGGACCAAAGTGATGGAAAGTTTGAGTTAACAATGTATGTGTATAACACCTTTCTTCATCAAACGTCAGTGTTTTGATATGTAAGACAAAATGCAAGACATGAAATACAAACACTGGACAAGCCCTCTGCTTTGGGACCTCCCCTCATATGTTTGTTTTTCACACAGTGCTAAGGTGGTTTAGATCTGACTAAGCTGTTTGCAACCTTTCTGAGCATCATTTTCCTTCCGTCTTTCATGTTTCTTTCTTGTTGTCGTAGTGATAAACTGATAGAAATGATGATCAGAAATAAGTTGGAATGAACTGGAATATCTTTAATAAGCAGGCTCTTATACAGCAGGTGTTGAGTCCAGCTCTAGTTCGCTACTACTATCATTCTTCCTCATTCCCAACCTGTTAGTTTAAAGGCAGTGTGTAGCGTGCTGTACGTTCAAGCTGCTGCTTCCGTGACGACTATGAATCACTTCCCATTCAAAGGAGGAAACGGTAAAAAATCAACACTCAGATCTCTGGTCTGATGTGAGCTTAGAAAGCTTTGTGGAGGCATTGATCTCCTCTGTCACAACCCCGCCTGCCCTTTTTTCTAAAAACCAACCACCGCGGCTGCCGGGGCCACCATCCACTTGCAATCCACTGTTCGTTGTAAGCTACTTTTTAATGAGCTCACTCCAGCTCACTGGCTGATCGCAGTGACTTTTTCACCTGTGCCTGAACGAAGTCCTGCAGTCCTGAAGTCTTGCTGCTGGAATATACCACAGTGCTACAGAGCCAGGCTCTGTAGCACTGTGGTATATTCCAGCAGCAAGAGTCCACCCTTGTTTATGTAGCCGCAGCAGCTAAAACAGAGATATTAAAGGGATTTGTATGAGGTACTCATCAATTGTCAGTGTATTACCGAAAGTAGATAGCGTTCAGCACGCCGCTGGAGCAAAGCGATGTACTGCTGTGGTCGGGGGTCAGCAGCATAACTTATTTTAGCCACATTAAAAAGACCGATATCAATTTAAGTGTACGCTATATTTACAATATTTTTACCGGTTCACCTGGCTGTCAGAGAGCCCCTTCTGACGTGGGACTGAAGCTGCTATCTATGCTGTCTTCAAAGCCACCATACTCCTTTGACAGAAACAGTCACTTTACCTCGCGGAACATGGGAGTTGGTTTGTTTGTGTTGTTGTGTGATTCACTTCCCCATCAGAAAGGGCTGTCTGAAGGCAAGGTGAGATTTAATTTAATTAATACATGTATTTATTAATTAAATATGGTCAAGTCAGTGGAGAACAGTGGCCACAATCTTAACAGTGCTTACAGCAAGAAAGGTGCCGCCATGTACAACACGAAGCACAAGGTGGCTGTTCTGTTCCACCTTTTCTTGAGTGAAAATTGTTTTTTTATCACAGATTATGGATCATGTTGGTGAGGAAAAAAAACCACTCTCTTCATTAAGCATTTCACATTAAGTGTTTTTCAGTCCTGCAGTATACTAATGTATTGCAGACATGCTAACATTAAGACTGCATCTGTGCAGGAAATGCGATGCCCTGCAATTTCTAACATTCTGCTGCCAGCTTATTTTCATGTATCTTATACAATGTGTCTCATTCTCTCTCTGTGTGTGTGTGTCACGGTGTGTGTTCAGTGTCCAAACACTGGAAGGCTGTGAAATCCTCCTGGGCCCAGAGGTGACGTACGGCCCTCCGGTCCTGGACCTCTTCACCCCGGTGGCCATGACCATCGCTCACTGCGCCGAGGTGGACACAGAGAACTGGAACGTCCAGCTCAAGAGGAAAACCCAGGACAGCAAATGGGAGGTGAGAGCTGCGGGCCCACACCTGTCAAGTACAGTACACCCCGTCAAGATATTGGTTCGGCTCAGACATGGCTCCCCTCCATTGTCTTTTTCCCCCCAATGGTTCTATTCTTTTTTTGTTGGAGCTAAATGTCCACAGGAGTGAAGGCAGGGTAAACAAGCCAACCCTCAGGGTTTCCCCTGTTTAGGATTGTAGTGCAAAGCCTGCTACATCTCAAGACTAGATTATAAACGACATTGAAGTGCAGATTTTGTAGACAGAGTAAACACCATTAAAATATCAGTCACAGCCTAAAAGTAAAAAACAGTATATGTGCTGTTGAGGTCGTGCTGTGATGTCACCATCTAGGCTCCATATATATCAGTATCTCATTGTTTTTAATTTAACCAGTATTTAAATGAAATCCTTTTCAACCCAACCACCTGTCTCACTCTACATGAGATACGATGGTAAGATAATGGAATGACATTTACTGTGTGTGACCGCCATACTGCTCCGTTGTTTCCATGTCTCTAGACAGCGTGTTGTTCAATGGAACTGTAGCTGTAACACCTGGATCTACCAACCCTACACGCCTACAATGTCAAACTAAATCTGAAAGCAACCGAAAAGCTGCCAGTGTGTCCATATCATATATATGATACCTGTATGCTTTCTTTTGAGACCCATCCGTTTCTTTATTAGCTACTGAAACAACAGCAAATATAAAGCTGCTGCAGGCGTATGTTGTCGTAAACCTAATTTCATTTTTTTTTATATGACTATGTATAGTGTGAAAGGAATTGCTTGTAGTGCCAAAACTACAGAGATTTAACACCCAATTTCGTAGTTCCCTTCACCTCTAGTGAGCTTTTCAGCCTCCTTTAGCTTGTTGTTTTGGTGCTCTGGCACACAAATTTCACTCCAATCCAACTATTTTCCAGCAGCAGCATATTTTATGTAAAACAGCTCTAAACAAAGAGCTGGTGAAGAAATAAAAACACGCCTCCGTATCTTCTGGATGTGTATATTTTTTACTGACCAGTTTGCTAAAAAAATGTTTGGGTCCATCCATCCATCCATTTTCCTCCGCTTATCCGGGGTCAGGTCGTGGTGGCAGCAGGCCAAGCAGGCTGACCCAGACCTCCCTCTCACCGGCAACATGTTCCAGCTCATTCTGGGGGATCCCGAGGCGTTCCCAGGCCAGCTGGGAGATGTAATCTCTCCAGCGTGTTCTGGGTCTTCCCCGGGGTCTCTTCCCAGTTGGACGTGCCTGGAAAACCTCCAGTGGGAGGCGTCCAGAGGCATCCTAATTAGAAAGTCACGAACAGGACCGGTGACAAAGGGCAGCCCTGGCGGAGGCCAACACCCACCGGGAACGTGTCTGACTTATTACCGAGAATGCGGACACAGCTCCTACTGCAGTCGTACAGAGACCGGATCGCCCATTGTAACGGGTCCGGCACCCCATACTCCCGCAGCACCCCCCACAAGAACCCCCGAGGGACCCGGTCGAAAGCCTTCTCCAAGTCCACAAAGCACATGTAGACTGGTTGGGCAAATTCCCAGAACCCCTCCAGTAGTCTTGTGAGGGTAAAGAGCTGGTCCACTGTTCCACGGCCGGGACGGAATCCGCTCCTCTGGAATCCGAGGTTTGACAAGCGGTCGGAGCCTCCTTTCCAGCACCCTGGCATAAGCCTTCCCCGGGAGGCTGAGTAGTGTGATACCCTGGTAATTCGAGCACACTCTCGGTCCCCCTTTTTGAAGATGGGAACCACCACCCCTGGGTCATATTATATCAATGCGTGTTCTGCTACCCCCAAGTGGCCAAAAACTGAATTTATGCAGCTTTTATTAATTTTATTCAGTTGAATTAGTAATTTCACGAGTGACTTACAGTTCATATTACACCTTCTTCTACGATGTCTAGAGTGTACTTCTGAAATATAAAAATGTATGTAAATTTCTGAAATTGAATCTACCAAATATAAAAATCTTAAGAAATTTGATTTTTCATTTTGATGACTTTTTACCGTCCCTTCCGGTGGACCACCATGGGACCTTATTTTGGAAAATATTTACAGTTGTCAATCGTTAGGGACAGAAGATATCGTATACTGTACAGATTGTTAAGCCCTCTGAGGCAAATTCATGATTTGGGGCTGTAAAAAATAAATTGAAATAAAAAAATGGCGTGAGACAAATAATTGATCCCATTTAAAATTATCTTTTAAACTGACAAACATCATATGTTTCATTCACGGCACAATTTAAAGGGGATCAAAAACGTTGACTACCATACCTTTCTATTATTAAATTCGGATCTCAGTAAGGTGTAGACAGCATGTGGGCTCGTCATCCCCCCCTCTCCAAAAGAAGAAATATATCCAATCCCTGTCCGATCAAGCAGGTTGCATTGAAGTGTAAAATGTGGACACACATATATGGACACAGCTGAGCTTCAATCTGGTGCATTCAGTCACAGAAAACAAAGTGTAACCACGGCCATAGTTTCCTTATGTTGCCTTTTTTTCTTTAACTATTTCACACAGTATCAGATGTCACAGTGCAGGACAGTGAGTTTTGAATACGGACGTTCTTGTTCCTTGACCTTAGATGCCACGGTTTGTTGACTCTGTTATCTCCCTCTGTTTGCTGACCTTTAATATATACAGGTATGTGTGCTTTATGCGGTAAAAGATCCTGTTAGCGAGCGTGTGCCATGTGTCAGGTGAGTTATGCGTGAGCCATAAAGGACTGTTGGGGCTTTGTGGTGTTGCTCATTGATCCAGCCTCATGCTCTCTGTGGGCTCAGAGGGTGACATAAGACTCCATGAAGGTAACACCGCCGGTCTGGCAGGAGGAAAATAAAGAAACAATTACAGCGTGTAATGGGCAAGAAGAGGCATGGCTGCTGTCAGTCAGTGGGGGGAGTGGTGGCGGGGGGGGGGGGCAACGGGTGAGGTATAAGGGGCAGTTAGACAAGGGCAGTATCGATTAGTGGATCAGGAAAGACATGGCACGCTGAATTTAGATGTGAGCCTGTCAGGCGGAGAGTCATGGAGATTGTTTCTCTGGCTGGGCACGACTCTCCATTTGCCTCCACGGACATTTCCCAACCCCCCCATCACACATTTAAACAGCAACACACACACACACACACCATCAACACCAAACACAAGCAAGCAGTTCAACTCGCTTCTTGTTAGCTTCGCTCTAATGCTTTTGAATAGGACACATTGTATTTTTACCAACTCTTTCTGTGTATGTGTTCCAACAATGTCAGCTTTTTCTTTTCTCCCCCCTCAAAGAAGATTGTTTTTACCGGCAGTGTGGATGAAGTCCCGAGTGCTTAATCCCAAATCCAAAGGCATGACAAGCCCGATCGCTGTCACTTTGCATTATCTGCTCATGTTTTTGAGCAGCAACATGAAGAGAGTATTCAATCAGGCGGTAATGTAAATGTAAATCTGATGTAAAGTTTTGGCAAGCTGAGCATGGGTCAGAATAATGAATACCACCGCTTTGCCCCTGGCTGTTGTGGTCGTTGTCAGCACTTATAAGAGCTTGTAATTTAGACGAAGAACAGCTTTTTTTGTCCTGAATTATGTTTTTCCAGAGGCGGGCCGTGCATTTTATACCTGGGCCTTCTGTGCTGTCCTACTACTGTTGAACAGCTGCGGTGCAGATACATGAATCCGTGCATGACGGGACACTGCATCATTAACGGACAATGCATAGTCAAATCAACGTAATTAGCACAATGACAACAACAAAGTCACATATATTCATATGACAACAAAGCATGACACATCAATCCAGCAAACCTGCAGCGGATCCACGCATTCCACCACACAAGAACACGAGCCATTCAAATGTTATTCATAAAAACGACACGATAGACAAATGAACAGTAATAACGTTACTGCAGATGCAGTTTGTCACTTACCGAATGCTGTTCACTTAAAGACAAACTCCATCCTCCTTTCTTTGTTGACAAAGAGTTTAATCCCAGTACATCGTTTCAGTTCCAGTAAGAAGTCCTTGTCGATTCACAGTCGAGCCTCCCCAGTTGTATTTCGCCGGTTCGCAGTGGGGCCGGGATCCCACCTCCGCCGGCCACGGACCAGCCGCGGATCGCGGTTGTGGAGCTCCGTTTCCCTGTGAACGTGTTCATTGATCTGTAGATCCACTCGGGTTTCTCCAAAAGTTTTCAAAAGCACCGTAGTGTCCTGCCGTGCTATGGCATCCTCAGGTTAGCGTAGCGTAGCTCCAAACACCAAGATGCTCAGTTAAAATGAAACACATTCCCAGCCATAAAATGTGCGACGCTGTCAGCCAGGAACACCGTTCATACAAATAAATAAACTACACCAAGCAAAACCCTAAAAATGTTATAATTTCTTCCATATCTTTCAATTTGAATTCTTACTACACCAACTAACTTCTGCCAGCTTCCTTAAATTTCACATTAGTCACGCACTCGCCCACTGACCAATCACGGCGCACGTTAATGCAAACGTACTTAGCAGGCTACCTCGGTGCCACTGGCACGTCAAAGAATACGCCCAACCTGTCAAACTAAAGATCTGATTGGTTGAAGACTATGACAATCAACAATATCGTCCCCATTCACTTAAACTGCAAAGGCTCTCCAGCGGGCATCGGGCCTCTCTCCTTACACAGAGAAATAGGGGCTGAATCTGATTGGATAAAAGCTCTACTTAAAACAAGCTGCACTCGAAGCAGAGCAACAGAGGAAGACAGGAGCTGTGGAATGAGAAAATAAGCTAATGGGAAAAATAATTATAATACATGTAGTGTATTTGTGAAAAATTATTAAATTATAAAATATCCATAACTTTGTGATTCTGTTTAGGCCAGCAGAGAAGGCTTAGCTGGCCTTGATGGCCCACCACTGTGTTTTTCTAAACGATAGAAATGGCTGATATAAAGAATATTCAAGAGCTTCAGCAGCCTCTTCACCACTGTTTAACCAAACAAAGATGCAACGTAATGGA